AACATGACATGTACAGGCACAGAGGTTCAGACAGGAGGAGAGAGAGCACGGGGAAAACACAGACATAACGGGCTGGGGAAACATGGAATAAAACATAAGGAGAGACGAGGGCTCACAGATACACAGAGGGGCACACAGGGGGTAAAAGCCATGAAGGGAAAACACTTAGGGAACAACACAACAGGGCAACTCAGAAAACATGGCCTAAATAAGGAACGAAATACAAAAATACAAGGAACTAAGAATACTGGGCCCACATGGCCCAGGACCATGACAAAAAGCGCATTTGGTTATCAGGTTTATAGGATTATTGAATTATGGTTAACGGTTGGTAGATTTTTTTTTTTAAAACATTATCTGCCAATTACATCTGCCACCCTTCTCCAAATCTGTGCCCCTACCTGGCCCCCCCAACAAAAATTTTCTAGACACACCACTGTTCTTTCTAGGTTAAAATACTGGGTTCTCATACTTAATGAGATGCAAATCAATATCTGACTTTTATGCAATGTGTTTTTTCAAGATTGTTGGACCCCAGTAGGACCCCAGTAACCCTATCCTGGGCGGGGTGAACTGCTCCTTTGGTGTTCTACTCATTGGGGTATTCTGAATCGCTCTTTGTCTGTTCCCTCACTCAGGACCAGTTTGCCATGGGAAACCCTACACGAGACAACGTAACCAATGGAATTCCTGGGACAAGAAAACCCTTTCACCACGATAAGGAAGCGAATTGCAGAGGGGATGAGTCGGGCATCTCACAAGGATGCCTCCTGGGTGAGGTGTTCTGGGCATGTCCCACTGGGAGGAGGCCCAAGGGCAGACCCAGGACACATGGAGAGATTATATCTCTCGGCTGTTCTGGAAATTACTTAGTGTTCCCCAAACTGGAGGAAGTGGCTGGGGAGAGGGAGGTCTGGGCTTCTGTTCTCTTAGGCTGCTGCCCCCGCGACCCGGCCCCGGAAAAGCTGAAGAAGATGGATGGATGGATTTCTTTGTAAGTAAGAAAATTTACACATTCATTACAGGATCAATTGATTCTTTTCCCCGCTGTACCTATTTTAGTGGTATTCTAATCTCAATCCAGCTAGCCAGCATTTGTACCTGACCTGTTTCACAGCACTTAGCAATGCAAAATATTACTGTTGAGTCACTCTCAGCAGCATCAGTCTGACAGCCAGTTGCCAGGAAAATGCCAAAGGGGAGGATTCTGTGCAAAGGACAAGGATGATGACTACACAAAGGCAGATTGCATAATGATAAAACAAACACAAGTTGTTTCCATTATTATTTATCACATCCCCCTCTTTCCACTTTGTTCTTTTCCCTGCTTCTGATATCACTTTACTATTTAATCACTCCTTTTTTTCCCTCCTTCTCTTTTTTGTCCTTTTGTCCTGCTCCACCTCTTACCTCTCACTCTCAAACAGGTGATGCCAAAGCATCATAATGCACATGCTTTTTAAGACTCTTTATGCCCTCCTTCCTTTCCGATTACTCCTTCTGTTAGGTCATTTGTTCTTTCCCACGATCTTCCTTACTTTCTCTTTGTTGCTTTTACCCCTCATCTCCTTTAAACAATTATTTTTACTGCTGTCCTCCTTGCTTCTTTTCCGCCTGCAATCATTATCTGCCCTTTCTTATTCCCTCCTCTCTTATTCCTCTGAGCCTCCAAGGAAAGCACCCAGTTGCCAGAATGATGTATCCTAGCAACAGTGACATCCCACCCATTCAGCATCAAGATGAGACGAATTTAATTTTTGGATGAAGAGGGAAGAGATTGTGATTGGACAGAGTGGAAAGGAGAGTAGAGGAGGGGGGTGAAGGGATACCCATCAGCTGATAATGGATCAGCTTTTAATGTCAGTACCCCATCTTCAATCTTAGCATTCAACAGCACTGCATGGGTGGCAGCTTTACTCAGATGCTTTCATTAAACCTAGTCCATGAATCCCTTGTTCAGTATTTTGCATAAGACAGTAACCACTAAGCAAAGAAATAATTAGCTCAGAAGCATAATACCCAAAGATACTTTTTGTTTGTTTGGTTTTGCATGAACAGGAACTCCTACTGGCAAATAAACAGCTCTTTCCAAAGATGCTGAAAAGAAATTCTCACTAGCTTGAATGAGCATTAAAAATGTCCCCTGGTTGGGAAGAAAACAGAAAGGCTGTGCTAATAGAGACTGAAAGCAGTGGTGGTTCCTTACTCTAGGACTACTCTGTAGTCCAGATGTCAGTGTACTGGTAAAAGTAAAATCCATTTGAAGAAGGTCAGCAGCTTGTTTGTACATATGTGATTGTCAGTTTGTTCAATCCTAGAACAAAGAACTCTCCTTAAAAATATACAGTATATCAAACTTAATACAACATAAACATGAGCAGCAGAACTTTAGTTAGTGGTGAAGGAGGGCTTTCCTTGTTTTCCCATATAAAAAATATAGTTGGTAGGATCCAAAGACCACTACAATGCTTATTCTCTTTTTTATTTCAATTGCTAGACTCGTAAATGTATTTTGATACATGAAAAGGATAAGCGGAAGCGAATGGATGGATGGATGGATGGATATTGATATTATCCAGACACATAAAGGATTTATGCATTTAAAAAACAAAAGCAAGGTCTGCCTCACAAAGCACTGGATCATCAGTGTCTGGTGTGAGTTAGTTATAACTGTCTATCTGCTCTCAGACATGGGCTTTTGGGCGACCGTGGCTCAGGGGGTTGGGAATCGCATCTGTAACCGGAAGGTCGCCGGTTCGATCCCTGGGCTCTCCGTCCTGGTCGTTGTGTCCTTGGGCAAGACACTTTACCCTACTTGCCTACTGGTGTTGGTCAGAGGGGCCGATGGCGCGATATGGCAGCCTCGCCTCTGTCAGCCTGCCCCAGGGCAGCTGTGGCTACAACTGTAGCTGCCTCCACCAGTGTGTGAATGTGAGAGTGAATGAATAGTGGTGTTGTAAAGCGCTTTGGGTGCCTTGAAAAGCGCTATATAAATTCAATCCATTATTATTATTATTTTGGGTCCTGTTGAGAACTTTGAAAATGGTAAATGGACTAGTTCTTATATAGCGCTTTTCCACTCTTCTGAGCACTCAAAGCGCTTTACACAACTTGTGCATTCACCCATTCACACAAGCACAACTGACATTCACACACATTCATACACATTCAATTTCGGGTTAGTATCTTGCCCAAGGATATTTGGCATGCAGACTAGGGGAAGCCGGGAATCGAACCACCAACCTTCCGATCAGTAGATGACCTGCTCTAACACCTGAGCTACAGCCACCCAAGAAAGCACAAGAAGAAAAGTAAGAAGCACATCCCATCTTTGCTTTGAAAGATGAGGTAAAGAAGAAACTTAAGAATTTGAGGAGAAAACCGTTAAAATTCAGTAGATCCTGAAGAGAAGAGAAGAGAAGAGAAGAGAAGAGAAGAGAAGAGTGTTCTGGAGGTACTTCCTAGAATATATAAACACAGTGTGCAGAAGGTAAATTTTTAAGGTAAATTGTAAATGGACTGTTACTTATATAATGCCTTTTTGCTCTAACAGAGCATGCAAAGTGCTTTTCCCCACTAGCCTCATACAACCAAACACACACACACACATTTATGCAGGTGCTTGTTTCTACCCCTCAGCCCCTTGTCTAACATTTGTGCACAGATTCACACTCCGACTCTGGGTTTAGTATCTTGCCCAAGGATACTATGGCATGCAGCTAGAAGACTCAATCCACTGACCGGGGTCAGAAGGTAAAACAGGCTGACACTGGCTCTTTTGTTGCATGTAAAAAACATAACTCCTCTAATTATCTCTGCCAATAACAATACATAGCTGGCTAATGTGTCGATCTCTTGAAGGACAGATCAAGATGCCAGAAATAATTACTTTGATAGTATTCAATATAACTTGATCAAATACGCCAAGAGGAGAGCCTTATTATGGAAAAAGTGAAGATACTGGTTGTGGTCTAATCTTGAGTCGTATTGTATCATTATATCAAGAAGCCTGTAGCTTTGTTCCACAACAGGAAGTTAGCATGGTGCTAGTAAAGCTTGGACACAAGCCTCTGATTTTAAAAGGGTGCGTCTGTTTTGCATATGTTAACAGGGAGATTGGGCTGGACGGCTGAGCATTGCAGTGAAGACTGAAGGCAGGAGGAGGGGAGCTGTGACACTGAAATGCCAAAGCCATGAATGAATGAAAGAGCTAAAGATTAGGGAAACAGTACAGATTCCATCTTCAGCTTAATATAGGTTCATATATAATATATATTGTAGAACTGATCTCAACCAGGGTTTTTTTTTTTTGTTTCATTGCCTGATTTTGACCCAAAACATTTGATTGTTTGGTTGCTTCGTTTATTGTCTCGTTCTCTATATTCTTGTCTTTTGGGTAAGAAGACAACTCAAAATCTACAGCTAGGAGTGAGAAACTCCTGGTGCTGGCAGCAGGGCTGTTATGTAATTCATCTGAAATAATATTATTCACATTGTGTCAAAGAGCACTATGTCTTTAAAATGATGACAGTTTACCTGCAGTGAGAGGCGGAGCTTCACTGGAAAGAAGGAAACATGAGAACATGACTGAAGGAAAAATGAAAGTAAACACAAGACTCATCTGAACCCAAGGTGAGGCTGATCCTTACAACTCTCTGAAAAACTTCCAGTAAAGTGTCGCTGACACGACTAAATCTTCGACAAGTACGCGCAAGTAGAGATTTTTTTTAATCCAAAGAGCTGTTTAAACAGCCAGCATTCACACATATTCAGCATATTACAAGATGTGAATCTGTCTCCTGAATAGTTTTGCTTTTAAATAATTTCCCCCAGGGATCAATAAAGTATTCTGATTCTGATTCTGATTTCATTCTTAATTCAAAGAAATAAACTCATAGAATTCTTTGAAAATTATTCAACAAAATGTTGGTGCATACTTTAAAACGTTTTAAATTTACTGCTGCCAGTCACACTTTCACTTTTGCTCTCAGCGTGACACCATGGCAACCAGCTATCTGTCTGAAGATCAGTTTCTGTGCTCCATCTGTCTGGAGGTCTTCACTGATCCAGTCACCATCCCGTGTGGACACAACTTCTGCAAGACCTGCATCACAGAAAACTGGAATATTAGTCTCTGCTGTCAGTGTCCACTGTGTGTTAAGGTTTTCCACAGCAGACCAGAGCTGTGCGTCAACACCATCTTATCTGAGATGGTGGATATGTTCAAACAGTCCACCGTAAAGAAAAATGGCAGAGCAGAGGAACAGCAAGCCGAATCAGGAGAAGTTTCATGTGAGGTGTGCAGTGAAACCAAGATGAAGGCTGTGAAGTCCTGCCTGCAGTGTCTGACTTCCTACTGTAGGACTCACCTGGAGCCTCATCGCAGAGTCACAGGCCTGAAAAGGCATCAGCTGATTGATCCTGTAAAGAACCTTGAAGACAGAATGTGTAAGGAGCATAACAGACCTTTAGAGCTCTTCTGCAAGACTGACCGGATGCCAGTGTGTGAATTTTGCAAGCAGTCCAATCACAAGGGACATCTCACCATTCCTTTGAAAACAGAATATGAGCAAAAGAAGGCCGAAGTGGAAGCAAGAGAGGGTAAAATTCATCAGATGATCAGAGAAAGACAAAAGAAAATAAACAACTTCAGAGAATTGTTAACATGCAGCAAGGAAGCTGCAGAGAGAGAGAAAACAGTAAGTGAGCAAATATTTGACAGTCTGATCAAGTGTATAGAAGAAAGTCGGAATCAGCTCGATGGTGTGATCGAAGGGATGCAGAAAACAACAGAGAGCCAGGCTCAAGGCTTCATCAAAGAGCTGGAGAAAGAAGTGTCTGAGCTGAGGATGAACATCTCTGAGCTGGAGCAGCTCTCACACACTGGAGACCACCTCCAGTTTCTCCAGAGTTTACCATCCCTGAACCCTGTTCCACCCACCAAAGACTGGAACGAGGTCACAGTTCACTCGTCATACGAGGGGACTGTGAAGAAAGCTGTTGCTCAGCTGGAGCAGACACTCAGTAAAGAGATGAAGAAGCTGCACGATGATGTGGAGCTGAAGAGGGTTCAGCAGTACGCAGTGGATGTGACTCTGGATCCCGACACAGCACATCCTAACCTCGTCCTGTCCGATGATGGGAAACAAGTATCTAGTTGTAACAAAAGGCAGAATTTCCCCGAGACCCCCAAGAGATGCATTTATTATGCAAATGTTCTGGGAAAGCAGGGGTTTTCCTCAGGAAGATTTTACTATGAAGTTCAGGTCAATGAAAAAACTCAGTGGGATTTAGGAGTGGCCAACGAGTCAATAAACAGGAAAGAGAAAAAGCCACTGTGTCCCAAAAATGGCTACTGGACCATTCGGCTGAGAAATGGAAATCAGTACAAAGCTGTTGTTGGCCCCTCAATCTGTCTCAGTCTGCAAGCAGAACCACAGAAAGTGGGCGTGTTTGTGGACTATGAAGAGGGTCTGGTGTCTTTTTATGATGTAGGAGCAGCAGCTCTCATCTACTCCTTTACTGGCTGTAACTTCACTGAGAAACTCTACCCATTATTCAGTCCTTGTTTTGATGAAGGTGGTGCAAACTCCACCCCTCTGATTATCTCTTCTGTTCTTCCAAAACATTAGACGCAGTATTTATTTCTTTTTAGACAAACTACTGGTCAAAATATGTTCATATGGCAAAAGAAGTCTGTGTGAATGAAATGACTTGATGTGGTGGTGGGAATGTTGTGTTTGCTTCAGTGGAGTGGGCAACTTTAAATTCTGTGTTCTGTGTTTGTTTTAAAGCTGAAGCTGAACTCTTAAGTTCTGTACTAACTTATTTGTTTTCATATATTTTTGTTCAATAAATTATTCAAATATACAGTTTGCTTATCCTTGTCAGTATGCAGTATTTCAACTCAAAATGGGGAAAAGAAAAATCAACTTGTAGATCAGACAATTGAAGACACGAGAAAAGAAAAGTGTCATGGTCCGTTGGAGTGTCTGGAGGTTTTCCATCTGTGGCTGCGGGTCCTCCCCTTTTGGATGGGACCTCCCCTGCCTCACCTGCAATCCAATCTGCAAGCAATCAGCGGGAGAGCGATTTAAACCTGTGCAACCTGCCTTTCCTCGCCAGTTTATTATGCTCACTAAGGCAGTTTTAAGTTAGCACTCATAAGCCGGGAGGTCTCTTTAGCCTGGAGGCTGTAGTATCCATGTTTTCCAAGAGCAATTTTACATTTGAATTACTCTGAGCACATAACGATTTTTCACTTTGCCTCAGTCCATTTTTAAATTAACTCTGACCCAGTTAAGACATCCTACATTTTTTACCCAAATCATAAAATATGTTTCATAAAATGTGAGAATGTCTCAGTTTAAGCTTTTGATATGATTTCTATGTTGTACTTTGAAAACAAATGTTTTATAAAATCAGTGCATTCTTCTTTTATTTACATTTGACATTGCCTCCCAGCATTTTCTCACTTAGGTCTCTAACGCGATGCTTGGAAGGAAAAGTTATCTGCAACTTAGTCTATCAGTCTGGGAAGGTTTTAAAGCCATTTCCTTATAATTTAAAGTCCATCATACAGGGACAAAGATACAAGTGGAGAAGCATGTTAAATGTTAGAACTGACAACAAAATACATCTTCATACCTCCACAGGTATGTTATGTGGACCAAATGCCTTTTTCTCTAGATCCTCTATATAGCTGTTCTCACTTCCTCCTTCTAATTTTCTGCACTTCCTGATTCACCATCCTCCATCTGTCCTCTCATTTTCATCTTTTACCAGCCTCTCAAAGTACTCCTCCCACCTTCCCAGCACACACTCTCCACTCGTTAGTGCATTTCCATCTCCATCCTTGATCATCCTAACCTGCTGGACATCCTTTCCAGCCTGATCTCTATCAATGCAAGTTCCGTTCTCCTCCCTTATGGTCCAGCCTCACATATAACTCGCTTTTCTTTGCCTCCTCTCTTTGCAGAACACCTAGCCTTCCAGTACTCCCCTCTATCCTTTCCCATCTCTTTGCTTATCCTTCATATTCTTTGGCAACCTCTTTCTTTGAATGCTTTTCTGTTCTTCCCCATTGCCCCACCATGTCTCCTTGCCTTCTTTCCTCTGTCCAGAGGATACATCTTGGCAGTTTACCTCTCACCTTTGTGAGGAGATTTAAATCTTCATTCCTTTTTAAAATCTGAACTCCTTTTAGTCCCTGTTTCTTAGTGACTCCCTGCTTCACTCCGACCTCCCTCCTTCCCTTCATCAACTGATCAGTGATGATGCAAAAGAACAGAGCAGAGCAGCACAGGTACAGGTTGGGGATTGATATCAGATGTTTTGCAGTTATCTGAGAGGGACAGGAAGGACAGCCCTTCTCTGTCAACCCTCACCAACGTCCTTGGAAGAGGAAATGATAGAACGGATGACTACTCAATGGAAGCGTGCAACTTGGAAGTCACTTTCAAAGATGAGGCATCTTTTTAATGAACTAAAATAAGTAGCAATCTCACACACCATTACAGAAACTTGCAAAAAGGCTTAATATAAAGCTGCTGCGTTATTCACAAGCTGTCATCACAGGAAGCAGATCTGCGTTTTGGTTTGGCAGCTGACGCAAACCCCAATGATGCACTTCATCTCTCAGAAATGAACCGAGGACCTTTCGCTTGTTAGGCGAACGTGTAAACCACTACAGTAAAAACCCAAAACACTGCAATGAAATGACTGTTATATGTTTATGTGCCCTGTGACACATGTAGTGGCATACAGGTGCAATAGTGTAATCATCGTGATTCATTTGTTATAGCCGTGGCTTATGTTCTTTGTGATGAAATGAAACAGCCCGGTGTCAGTTCATACCTTAAAACTACTGTTGGGTAGGTGGGGTGGTTGGCTTAGGGGTTGGAGTTATGCTGGAAGGCTTTACACTGCCCTCTAATGGAAGTCCAGCTGACTTACACTGAACTAAATGCTTTCAAATCACTCATGGTAGTTTTATAGTGGCATTGTAAAGCGCTTTGGGTGCCTTGAAAAGCGCTATATAAATCCAATCCATTATTATTATTATTATTATTATTATATATATTATTATCAGCTGAAATGTGCAGACAAATCAAATAACCAGGGGATGATTTAAAAATGGGAATAAACAGAATGAATGAGGGCTGCATTCACAAATATTTATTCATAATATTTGGACATTGTTGTCCTCGGGTGTGTGGATGAAAGGAGCATGACAGCTGAAATGACAGACTTTATCGGGCTTGTCCAGACTGGAGTCACTCAGTCCATCATGACCATATAAAAATACATGTAAACCAGTCCTCTTTGGGGTTTTTTTGCTTTGCTGATGTTATTTCGATTATTTTCTCTAAGCTAGCCGCTCAGCATCGGCCTGCATTTGGACGTCTTCGACCACACCTTCACTTCGGAGCGTTCTACATGACACATTATTCCCATTGTGAACTTCTATGCAGTAACCAAAACACACACAACATGTGATGATCTCATTAAATTCAGTATAAACACGTAAACGTCACAACATTTGGTTTTGATAATAATGTGTCTTTGCAGCAAATACAAACACCTTACGTCACTTGTCCATTTGTCTTTATTTTGTGTTATGTTACATGTGAACATAAACTTCCAAGAAGTTATAGTTGCCATGGAGACACAGTAAATATATTCAGGTACTCGGATATGAAAAAAAAAACAAAACAACCCAAAGTGTGTGAGTATTCGGGGTGAGGAACAGTGGGAGCTGACCATGTGTACGCTGATGTAACGAAGAGTAAAACAAAACCAACTGTGTGTGAATTTAAAATCAATCAAAAAAAACAAAAACATCATAGAACAAGGAAGAAGAACAGTGACCTAAAGCTATGAGCAAGAAAAAAAGGTAAACATGAATCCAAATATAAAAGAGGAATAAATAAAATGTATTAATTTACAGACACGGCGACAACAACTGACAGCACAGATGTTTATTTCCCTCTGAATTTGGTGCGTTACAGAGCGAGAGAGACGAGGACGACAGTGAAGAGGAGGGCTCTCGCTCCCTCGCTCCCTCTCTCTCCTGTGGCAGGAATCGGCATCCGGAAACTGAAAGGGTGCGTTTCTATGGCAACGCTTCAGGAGGGGAGGCAGGAGAAGCCAGGTGGGGTGGCGACCTGTGGAGCTCATTTCTAAGGCTAAGTATGGCACATCCACTCAAACAACAGAGTCTCATTTCACCCCAACTGCACCGCTCCCTTCATTATTACATCACCTTAAAGGGGACCTATTACACCTCCTCCCAATAACAGACGCTCATTTAAACACGACCAATGTTTACGTAAGTGTGAGTCCACAGCTCAGACTTGAGACTGCTCTGAACACTCCCAAGTTTTCTTGAGGAGGAGGTGGGGCTTACAAACACAATGTTAGTCTGTAGAAGACAGGCGTAGCCAATCAGAATTAAATGGATGTTCAGGGAAAGTCCCAAGAGCTAAAACCAGCAGTTTCACACACACAGCAGGAAGTGAGGGACAGAGTTAAGTAGGAATTATGAAATAATTCCATTAATAATTACTAAATGTAACTATAAAATACCAGAATAGGTCCCCTTTAATACTCTGGCTATATCTGTGCCCCTTCCCCCCCCAAAAAACCCCACTGCTTATCCTCTTTTACCTCCACTGCCTACACTTAATCCCCCCTCCACAGTCCCACTCTAAAAGGCACTGGTATATACTTATTTCTCCAAACTCTAACATCTAGATTCTCGATTTAAGATGAGCGATTGAGGCAATGACGATGCACAAAAACACAGATACGCACACGGGCCAGCCGGGTAACTCGGGGGGGGTAGCTGGCTCTTGCCAATGCTACCATTCCTTCTTCATACCTGTGTGGGAGTTACAAAGTTTAAATCGCTTAACAGTCTGCTGACGGCGGAGGCAATCAAATATGTAAACTTCAACAAGGCTAACATCATGACAGGCGAAGAGATTTACAAAATGTTCAGCTATGGTCCACAAAGCGGTCTGGATCTTTCTGAATGGCCTAGACTGGTCTTACTTACTAGCACCTGATACGCTGTTTGTCAGAAGGTCAGGTAGCAGGGTTCTTCAGCCTCGAATCAATCACATATGACTACACCACTGCTACTGCTAGCAGATTGCTGGGAGTTGTTTTTATGTGCGGTAATGCTAAACGCAGTCCTCACAGGGCTGTAACTTTTTAAACTGTAAAGCTGGATGAGTGCGGGGGTCATTCGAACCATCTCTGAGACTAATTTCAGCATCCGCACGTCCAAAGACAAAGGCAACAGACTAGAACCGCAATGTAACTTCTACACCTCTGTAACATCGAGGTCCCTGGGATCCTTTTCGCTCTCTCTTTTTTTTAAATGGGAGTTCTAATTGTGCATCCCAATATTAACTTCTTTTTTGTATCGACCTACATGCCTGTGTATCTACAGAGCAGTGGAGAGACTGACACACAAGGTTAAAAGCAATGGTTTGTGCACAGAGCGAGTGTCTGTATTGCAAACCTCGGTGTTGAAATGCCATCAGATATTTACACAGTGAAAAGGATCGACTCCTACGCTACACACTGAGCTTGGCTGGTACTTGCGTACGTTTGGAATGGTTTACTATGAAGACGGTTTAGGAGTCTACATCCTCCTCTTACTAGTAACTTACTAAAGAGTCTACTGTAGTTGTCCTGGTTAGTATTTGGGGCTCAAAAGCACTGGAACGAGGTGACTGATGTTCTCAACTGGACTCGTCATGAAGGCGCTGCACGAAGTGGCAACTTTGCTCAACTGTAGCCTGATCTGGAGGCTGTATTCACATATAGAGACCATTAGGCCAGCTCATGTATGCAATTTTAATATTTTCTCTGAAGGAGTAGTCCCAGCTCAGTTTGGGAAATATACCCGCTCAGTTTTTTGCTGTATGTTAGATAAGAAGATCAAATACCACCAAAGGGGGCTCTAAAGAGCTGACCAGCTCTTTGAAGGCTGGTGGATTATTACCAATTCTGAGCCACAGAAGGGAACCGCTCAGGTCCCCTGCTGGTTTTATGGACTCTTATACACTTTGGTTTTTGTGCAAAAGCAATAAGATAAAACATGTTGACTAGTGGGCTTTTCTGGTCAGACCCACGCTAGCTCTTTTTACCAAGCAGCTGCTGGCCAATCCCGTCGCTTATCTCGGCAAAGAAAGTCAAGTTAATTCCTGCGCTCTTCCATTGAGAGGAGCGACTACATCATTCAGCCTGGCTGACTCATTAGAGTTGCTAAATCCAGCTTCTTACAGTGAGCTCTCAGATAAAAACATGTCACCTGCTTTTACCTGAAATCTAGGGCAGTGATCACTGAAACGGCCAAAAGAAATGCATCTTTTTTTCCTCCTGTTGATGAGAAAGAAGTGTAAAAGCATTTTCATGTCCACAGATAAAAAGTGTATAAATCATACAAACATCTGACATTTCCAGTGCATTTGTGCCTTAAAACAAAATACAAAATACATAGGGCTAGTGTCCTAACCTTGCTCCTGTCTGTACATGCTACCTACAGTATACAATGACATTGTGTCAAATGTCTGACTTTTCTTTTAAACACTGACTTTGTATGCAAAATGTGGAGTTTTATTATACAGCAGAAATTATAGCTTTAATTCCTTACGACAATGTCCCTTGTGAGTTTTCTGTCGCGGTTGCCACTTCCGCGTGTGGAATCTCCAGCCGTTACAATAAAAAAAGTCCCACAGACTGGACTGCGTCCCCCAGCCCCGTCACCCTCATCGCTAGTTTTCTGCTCTGAGCAGACATCAACTCACAAAGGATACGCGAAGTGAAGACGCAAAAGAATAAAAACAAAAACATTAAAATCAGAGATCTATTTGTCCTCTGTTACGATCTGAGTTGTGGTCCTTGATTGTGTGGTAAACGATTACCTGTTTGAGGTGAAATGTGAACCGACAGAGTGATTTCACTCCATCAGAAAAACAAACAAACAACAGGTTAAAAATGGCTGCTGTCTCTGCCGCTTACATCAAGGCAAATCAACACGCCTCCAGGTGGCAGTCAACATTTATTCACACCAAACTCTCGCCTTTGACTTCTCCTTACCGCTGCTCCTCTCCACTTTGAAATCTGAGGATCTCTCCAGATTTTCCAAAAGACTGGTTCCAAATAAATATGTTTTTAAAAAGTCTCTCTTTGTGTTGAAGAGTCTGCTTTTCTGGATACATGTAAGTGAGTCTAATAAAGACAGAGGAGAAGAGAGTTGGAGAGGACTGTTGAAGTCACTAACTGTGAGAGGTCAAAGTCTGAGTCCGCCCCCATGAAGCTCAGAGGGCGTGTTTGTGTGAGGACATCACTGTCTCTGGGGGTATGGCTGCTACTTGAAGATGTAGTTGATCAGGACCTGAAGGAAGATGAGAAAAATGATGATGATGTAGTCACGCTGCTGGAGGAAGGAGCTGCCCTCCACCCGACTCGCGGCACGACTCCGCAGCACGGTGATGGTCCTGCAAACACACAGATGCTACATGTGAGTGCTAAAAGGTCCAGCGTATTACCACAGTCGCCTCACAGTGTGACTTATACTTCCCACCTGTTAATGTCCTCCTGCGTCTGCTTTATGGATTCAATGGCACTTTGAAGTTCGCTGAGGTCTGCTCCTTTTTTCCTCAGCCGATTGTTATGCTTGCTTTTGTGTCCTGCGATAAAGTAGAGCAAAACAAGTTTAAAACCATAGACGCATGGGCACTTACATAATGCAGATGTATGTATTTAAGTCAGACTGCTTCTAAGCATTTGTACACATGAGTCATATGATTCATGGGTGTGTCACAAAGTCTAATTTCTCATCAGTAGCAACATCTACATATGCAAAGCTGTTGTCATCAAGACCCTTTATTACCTGTATCACAAATTCCTCATCTAACAAGAGCAACAACAGACATTTAGATGAATAAATTCACAGCTGTAGGTATAAATTTTGTCAATGAACATTGTTGACTGACTATATTGACTGTTCAGCCTGCGTATGTGCGTATTGAGATGTGAGTTTTAGTGTGTGTGGCTCACGTTCGCTGCCGGATGAGTCCTGGTGGTCGGGTTCAGGTGAGGAGCAGCCGCTCTCTGGACTCTTGGGCTTGTCACTCTTGTGTTTCCTCTTTGGCACCGTTACCTGTCGGCACATGTGTGGATAAATACACAAGCGTGTCAGAAAAGAAGGCAAATTTCAGCATCTTGGACTGACAAATCCAAAATAAACACACAGACAAACATGCTATTTAGTGTTGATGCAAACGGCGGTTGTGCGAGGCATGCTGTTAGGCTAATTTCAACTGGTCAACAAAAAACACATACTCAGCATCCCAAATGAACAAACCTGCCTTGAGCTTGTTTATTCAAATCATTTCTTCCACAGATGTTTAACTCTGCCAGGTAAAGATCTGGGCCATAGAAAAGCATGTCAAAGTTTGCCTAACAGAAGCGTGACTGACTCCAACCGGGGGACAGCGTCAGCCCTGTTGGACAACATTTGGCAACAGTTAAGCAAAAGCCTGAAAGCACTGATGGTGACTGATTTATCCACCAGGGACAAACTTCAGATCCTGGCAGGTGGTTACTCTGAACACATGTGGATGCAAAGAGGCCAGACTGACTGGTCCACAGAAACCTTTAGCCTCTTCTTACGACTAACTAGCGAATTTAAGAGTCCAACAAACACTGCACAAAAACAGAATGGAGTTGGGTGAGGAAGGCGTGACGATCAGGATTAGACTGATGAGGGTGAAATGGTTCTTGCTTTTGGGTGTAATGTAGGAAATGACCACTTTCACGTTTTGCAAATTTTAGAAAACTAAAAAAGTTTTTTCTCCTTTTATCTCTGTTTTGGTCTCCTCCACATCCTAAAATAAATAATTAGCCACGAATTATTACGTTAAGTTAAATGAGATTCTAACTTTTTGAGTGTTATTTGGTGCTGATAGGTTGTGCACAACGTAGCTATCAGGAGAAGTAGCCACCTACTGAAACAAAACAAAGAGCTAAATAACAGTAAAAGTTCCAGTCTGAGCTCCAGCAGTGATGTTTTGTTCATGTGGAAGAATTTTGCTGCTTTCTGTTGAACTTTTTAATACTATATTCTGAAATTTCACAACGTGTGGAAGAGCCTGCAGCCAAACAATGTTTCCAAATACTGCTCGTGCACTCCTTCATGCTGAACAATGCTCGTCTCTTCAGAGTGAACAAAGGAAGAATGCCTTGTCATCCATTTACTACAGCATGCAGTCTGACAAGACCTTCCGTCGCATTGAGAGCGAACAGCAAGAAAGGTAAAAATAAAGGTGGTGGCACTAAGAAAAAAAACATCACAATAAAGTGGAGCAGAAGCGACGATGGTGGTGGCAGCACCGCGAAGACAACACAGAGAAGTCACAATGAAGGTGGTGCGCAGGGTGCTTTGAGATGCATGGATGGAAGATGGCTGAGACGGCGAGATGCATTGCTTCACAGCGGTTTTCGATTTGGACAACCTACCTGGCATTTGCAATTGTCCCTCCGCGGCCCCTGGTTACTCAGACTAATAAGACTGCCAGAACGTACCATAGGGGTGCGGTGTCGGACCTTGGTCTGGATACAGCCATCTTTCTCGAACTGGATCAGGTCATTGAGTGGATCCCAAGGCCTTGTGCTGAGGAAGAAAAGGATGATAGAGACGAAGAAACACAGTAAGGATGAAAAAGAAGAGGGACAAATATAACTATTCTGATATAAATACCGCTCACAGTTTTTCTCTTTCTCATCTAGCATACTGTATCTTACACACAAAAACATTCTCATTATAACAGTAAATAACTGTAAACTGGACATCATCTATGCATATAGGGGATCACCACTAGATGGCAGCCTGCCACACTAAAAAATTCTGAGACTGAGGCAAAAAATAAAATGTGCCTTTAGAGGGAAATCTATTTAAAACCAGCTGACTGCAAATACGCTTGTAAAAGACTTCCGGAAGTGACGTCCAGTGCATGCAAATTCTGTCTCCAATGACGCCAGCAGAAGGTGAACACATCAGAACACAAGCTTAACTGTTTTTTGTCATTTTTACTACAGTTTCACCAGCTCTGCTTTGTCGGTATCTCCCAGCAGAGACATGCATGAAGCTCATACCTCAGCGCTTTCTTATCTCCATTAAACACACAGTTGAATTTAATGTGATTTCAAACCACACCCGCTTACGAGCAACAGAGGAGTCACTCACTCGGCATATTTGTAATGCCACTCTCCGGTGATGGGGTCCTGCTCGAACAGGGCAGGACTCCACTCCTCACATTTGGCTTTCCGCTCACGCGCCGACTTCCTCTGAGCTTCCTCCAGTATGAACTTCTCATTGGTGGCTTCGGTCTGGTCCTTGTTGTTGATGGCTCGTGTCACGTGTTGCCACAGTCTGCCGGATTGAGAAGGAAAAACAAAGCATTAATGAAAGACTAAAAGATAAGACTCTTTGTTTCAATCAGGACCACTACAGCTGAAACAAAGCTACAGTTCCATGTGCAGTAACATGGATTTGGCTATGTAGCTCTGATCCAGAAGCAGCAGCAATACTCCGGCAAAAGGGGTTGCAAAGTGGTTTGCAGAAGCATCAAACCTTTGCACAATGTAGTAAGTGCATTTCAGATAATCTATTACATTTGACAGTCAATACTCTGATAATAGTCGAATCAAAGCTCACCTTTCTGACTCAGACTCTCCCTGCTCCTCTAGTGGGACGGTGCAACGAGTCAGTCGGCTCTGCCTCAGCTCCGTCGTGGGGTTCCAGAAAGTGTCCACTATCCCAGTCTTCTTATCATTAATGAAGATCTCACTATCCTGAGGGGGAAAGTACAAAAATAGCTTTTAACATGGTAGTTTTGAAACATTACCCAACTAACAAAGGGAAGGTTTTACTAAGAAGTTAATTTTTTCTGTGGGTATAAAGTCGTGTCTAGTTTGATAAAATCTGCCAGCTTTTCTTAAACCAGAAGAAAACACAGCAACTTGTATTACTGGTTATATATTTCATTTCTGTATAAGGAATTAATATTAGCAAAATGTCAACACATCAATCCAATAATGATTTTAAAGACACAATACAAAATATATACAGATACATGTTGTATCTGTGTTTTTTATGAAACAGGCAGTGATTACAGGAACACAGACACACGTCTTACCCAGTGTCCTTCTAGTGTAGCTAACACCTCCTTTCCCAGCTTGATCTTTCCAGAGATTTGATTAACACAGTCACTGCTGCCCAGGAAAGGCTGCAGGAAAAACGGAAACAACAGGGAGGGAAATGGAGGAATGAGAAGGAAGAGGAGGCAGAGAGGAAGGGATGGGAGAGGAGAGAGGAGAAGAAATAGGAAAGGATATAAAGCAGTTTACTTGCTGCAGTTACTGTATGAGAAAAAGATCCTGTGACTTACTATTACTCAGAGAATTTACTAATACGACCGCTTTTCATTGAAGACCAATTAAAAGAAAACAACATTGTAGAAACTGCCAATGGCAATCGCTTACATGTTTAAGGTACCAGAAGGTACACACAACCCAAGGTTCTGTTTGCCTACTTTAGGGATATAAAACTGAGGGGCAGCAATTACTAAATAAATGGATTTCTTAAACTTTTACTATCTTTACAAATTCGCTACCCTGTTTGCTTTATCATAAAAGTACCTGTCGCTAGTTGGTAAATGATGATGGAGCGAGGCGTGGTTGGAGGGGGTGGGATGTTTTTTCAGGAAGGGTGGAGGAGATATTCAGAAAAATCATGTGAGTCTGAGTTTTTTTCAAAGTCTTAAACAGTTACTACAAAATCTAGGACTTCACAAGCCTAAAGGCCTCCCCTTACACACTATTTACTACTATTAAATAAGTACTTTAGTTAAGTATTTTTTAAGTTTTTTAAACTACAGAACAAAGCCATACCTTCAGTTTGAACTCCAGCTGTGCACTGTAGCCTGTTTTCTCACAAGCAATGGTGACATGACCACCCAGCTCCAGAGTCATGGTTCCATATAGGATACCTAGCAGATTGTTTTTATAAAAGAACGCACAGGTTACAGGTAAACTCAAACATATCTAAAATAGATCAGCACCTACAAAGCAAAGTTAATTTGGCAGGTTTTTGCAAGCTAATGTGGTAAATGGACTGATTCTTATATAGCGCCTTTCTACTCTCCCGGAGTACTCAAAGCGCTCTATACAACACGCCACATTCACCCAGTCACACCCATTCTCACAAGCAATACCTCTATACTGAGGGCTTTCTAACTACACTCACACACATTCATACTCCGATGGATGCATCGGAGAGCAACTTGGCGTTAGTATCTTGCCCAAGGATACTTGGCAGACTGGAGGAGCCTGGGATCGAACCTCCAACCTTCCGATCAGCAGGTGACCTGCTCTACCTCCTGAGCTACAGCCACCCCTGTGCTTTGGATGTCCAACAGAACAGTGATGTTACAGCACTGTTCACACAGCATGAGTGACATGTGAAAGGAAAAAGATTCATTCGAACCTTTACAGTGAGCATAGGGCATATTCATCACATAGTCCTCCCCTCGGTTGAGAAAAGTGAGGCGAGCCTCCCCGTCCAGTATAGCCGACAGCGAGTTTCCTAAAACAATGAAACAGTACTGATAGTCAAAAGTAGATAATAGACCAAAGAGCTAAAATGTCAAAGTAATATTAGAGCAGCACTAAACAGTGAGTGTGCTGTGCATGTTTGTACCATAGAACTTGGACTTGGCGAGGATGCTTCCACTGAGGCAGAATCCGTCCTTCCTGTTACTGACATAGAAGGCCGATACTGGAGGGTGATGAGATACCTATAAAATAAATAATGTAAACTGTCAGTCATCGATTTACCCTGTCAACATTATCTGATATGTACTCCTCATATAGCCAAATTCAGTGTAACAGATGAACCTATCAGGCAGCTCTCGGTAGCAGTATTGTTGTTACCTGTTCTGCCATGTAGAAGGTCTTGCTATTGGTCTTCTGATGGAGCCACATGCAGCGGAACGTCTCTCCAATAATGGGATTGTAGGGCTTCTTCAACCCCTGTGAATTCAAAAGCACCATAAAACATGATTTTAGGGTCATGTACATACAAAACATGTGACCAACAGCTGACGCAGAAAAGCTATGCTGACCTTTGGCTTTTTGTAAAATCCAGAGATGTACCACTTTACCACCTTCTTCATCCGGTTATAGGCATTCTCTTCAATTGCAGCCCTGAGAATGAAGCAAAAGCTTGAACTGATGCTCCTCCATTACACAAACACTCTTTTTTCTCTCTTTTGAAAGTCAAAGCCAGGCCAACTTGTTTACAGTCTAATGCCACTATCTGCAGGCTGAAGTCCGATTACCATTGATTCACATCAAATTACTCCCAATTGATAAGCCTGTTTCACAAAGGTCAAGGTAAATGGAATGTCTTACTCTGACAGGAAGTCTGCATGGAAGTAGTAATCAGAGAGTTTGTCCAGAAAGGATCTTGGCTCCAGGATAAAAGTGGGTAACACAACCTTGGACAGGTCCATGCCAGGTCGAACCTGCTTCAGCAGGGTCCAGATCAGAGACTTGTTCTCCTCTGATACGGTTTCTGTCTGAGCAGCTTCACCAGCCTGAGGACACAGTCAGAAAACAGCAGACAGGTTAAGTAATTGCACGTGTCCTGTTGTAACATATATGACAGATTGACACTTGTCACTTTTTTTTTACTTTTGTTAACGCTACTTTCAAATTTTATGCATGTCCACAAGCTTCAAAGTTCACATGGCTTTTTGTGCAAATGGTGCTTTCATTAGCTCGAGTGTAAACATTTTGCTTCAGTCAGTGTTTAATTATTGAGTTGTCTCGTTTAGATTTCATCAGGACGGAAATCTGTGTTTTCACTCTCACACTTATCCTCACATCCCTCGCAGACACCCACGCACACTGCGATCAAAGCTCGTCCATGTTACAGGCTGAATAGCCCTGCAGAGGAACATGCTAATTTCTCCTCATTATGTGAGAAACTTTATTAAAAACAAGCCTTCAGATGAAGTTTTAAAGATGAAAATTGCTGCTACAAATCCTAGGAGATTGTATCCTAGTGGTACAATCACATCTCATCTGCAATGCTTTTTCTTGTTGACGTTCAAAGGAGAGCAAAATTGCAGCCTCCCACCCCCACCCCCTGTTCCATACCTCTCCTAACTCTTCCTGGGACTGTTCCAGGTATGGGGTTTCACGCAGATGCTCATTTGGGTCCAGGTCAATGTACGAGTCGTCCTGACGCTCTGATGTGTCGCTGTCACTCTCCTCACTTTTCTCCAGCCCCTCTGGATCTGACTCCTCGTGGTCCTGCTCTCCTTCCCGATCTGACTTGTCTGAGTACAGGTCCGGGTCTTTCAAATGGTCGCTGTCATTGAACCTGTAAGAAGCAGGGGAATATCATAGAAAGAATTTTTAAATCCATAAAATCAGTAATAGCTGAGCTCTACAATCTAATGTAAATGACATTTCCTACTCACTGGAAACCGTGTATGTTGTGGGCTCTGAGGAGGCTGTAGAAATTAATGGAGTGTTCCCCACCAGTGCCTACAGTGCTCATGTCATCCTTCCCCTCACGGATCATGGTCCTCTTCAGCAGGCTGGAGCACTTCAGGGCCAGCTCCAAGGCATCCATCCAGCATCGGCCTGGAAACAGGAATTAAGCTGATAAACAAGACGCAGAAACCATTTTGTGAATTATTGTTTTCATGAAATCTATTCATGGTGAATCACAACAGCCCCTCACCACACATCAGAATCAACTCTGGGTGAGTTAAAAAGCTTTTTCACTTTGGAAGTCTTCCTAAAACAGGAGTTATTTCAGCACCATGGAGAGGGACCGAGTGGCTGATGGAGAGGCTGGAATGGATGTTTCAGCACCACGGACAGAGACACAGAGGACACGCTTGCTGTGTCTCCGAACAGCCTTCGATTTATCACAAAGTCTCCTTTTGTTTCATTTTCTCACATTTACACAGACATAAACTGAGATTCACATATACACACATCCGCCCTCGTAACAAACAGCCATTCCAGCCTTTCCACATCCCACCTTATTCAACGTTCAACCCGCAGTTAAAGTCTCCTATGTTGGCATTAAAGCAAACAGAGCATTTAACCATATTTCTTATTGCTTCTTTATCACTACCTGGAAACTACATTACAAATTATTCTAACAGCCTGATTCAGATAATAAAGGTTAATGTACCTTTGATTAGATTGTGGCCAGAAACGCTAACGTTGTTAGGCCACGATTGCCCAGTTCCTGTTTAAAGTGGGCCCATTATGCTTTTCCTTTCTGTCACATGTACACACATTTAAATGTTGTTTTATGTTAAACTTTTTAAATAACAAAGTGAGTGTATGTACAAGAAATCACTGTAAGCTGAAAAGAGTAAAAGGAATAAAATTCTGTCTACCAGCACATAAGCCTTTCCCACCTTTTAAGAACAAAACAATGACGAAAGATCACAGGACTCGAAGGCAAACAGCTACAGATGCTTGTTTCAGACAGAGGCACCTTGACCCAATATAAGATAAATAATGATTCATTTGCACTGTGAGTCATACACATCTACTGTAGTTAAGACAAAAAGAAATATGAGGCTGGAAATGAGCAGAACAGGTCTCCTTTATCAGCGTGCCGGAGACAAAACATAGCAGATGGTTTATAAAACAAAGATGATCAGTGCCTCTTCCAATGAAGGCCACTCACTGTCAGATCATCTGCTATTCATCTGATACTAATACAGCTTTGTTAATGCCAATATTATGCAAATTGATAGTTTATCTCAATCAGTCAGTGTAAGCGGCTGCTGACAAAAGTCAGAGAAATGGCTTTAAATGACAGCCTGTCTCCTACCATCAGACTCAGAGGCAGCACGGAAAATGAGGTGGCTGCTGGGTAACGGCTGCGTGATGGAGCCGACTGCTTCTCCTTTAGGACCCTGATAACAATAAGACACAAAGAAAGGACGGGAATGCACGTTAAAAACATTCACCTAGTTACTCAGTTTCTTGATCTGTGTTTTACTTCTTCTTTTAAAAAGTCTTTCATTGTGATTTCTTTATTTTATCTCAAGTTTTTTATATTTTCTCTTTTCGTTTTACATCATTTCATGCGCAAACAGAAACAATCCAGCATTACAGATATGTAATTATGCAAATGAGAGAGCATAGAGGGCACAGAAACAGAGCCGGTGAAGTGCTTATTTCAATAGTGGAGAGCAGGAACGCTGTAATGCAAAACAAACTGGTAATTTTGATTCAAGGTTTTGTTTTTTTATAATACAAACAAACGAAAAATGAGGCTTGAAATGCAAGGTCAGCGATGAATACTAAATTACTGGAGTGGACCGAAAGCAGGGCGAGCTGAAAACGGGGACAATGGAAAATGAGAACTGCCAAAACTGAAATAGGCTGGCTGGAGGTATAATTTTCTCTGTGTGTGTCCTAAATGAAACAAAGACATGGCTTTCATTATACAGTTAACATCCACATCTGCTTCGCTATTGTAACTGCAGGGGACAAATGAGTGTTTTTAACTGAAGGGCCCTTTCAGTCCTAATTATGTGTAAGAGTTTATTCTGCTTTGCTCATCGATGGACAGCAAGCAAAACTCTGCATAATGAACCAGTCTGGCTTTGCATTCATGATTACACTGTTATAAACAATGCGAAACAATTTCTAAGAAAATTAAGCCAAAACCAGCAGACACTGGTTTAAAAACACAAGTGTGCTGTAGTGGCACTGCTGTGGTACCACTTTCTAAGGTAAAATGATCATACGCCTGCTGTTTGACATGATAGAAAGTAGCTTATGAACTCGCTAGATGCCTGAAAATACCAGCAATTGATGACTAGCAAACAAACACATGCAGGCTTCTATGTAAAAATATATATTGAGAAAAATCATGTCATAATCAAATGCTATATGTCAACTGTTTTCATGGTGATTTTTTCATTGAGTACACGAATCCCTGTAGACCTCCATATGAAGTAGAATGCAGTCTAAGAGATGATTCCAAACGGAGCCATTTTTGAGCAAATAACTGTTTTGTAGCGTTTTTGTTAACTGTGCACTTGCTGCATACTTTAAACTAATTGTTACAATGTGTTTAACAGTGAACATGCGCTGTCAGTCTTGCCTGCTGCACAATAACATTCAATATTTAGTGTTTACTATTATTTACACTTAGCTAGATTATTGTGATGGTGTTGCGTTTATTATGTTGCTCTCTTAGTTATTTGTTAGTTTTCTAAAAAGGTGTCTGAAAATCATGATTTAATTAAAAAGATGCTACATTAGGATCATTTACATAACTGACTTAATGCTTTTTAAAGGTCCACTCTGACCTTGACAGCCCAGATGGACTGCTCCAGGGGGTGAAAGAGTTTGAAGCAGAAGCCGTCTTTCTTGGAGGGCCTCTCGATGAGCTCGCAGGCATTGAGCAGCACCGTTCCCACCCACTGCCCGTTTTTGTGAGTTTTGTAGATGAGCAGGACGCCCGGCTTCAGCACACACCACAGCTTGGTCCAGCTTTTCAGAGTGCCACGGATCTGCAGACAGTTGCAGGAAAAAGTCAGGTACTCAAAAACGCTACCAAAACCTGAAGGGATTCTTTTATTCTTTGTCTTACTGTTACAGCTGGGAACACTATTTTTCCTAATGCAAAAGTAATGTTATATTTTATGCCGGCCTAAGGGCAAGTTGTCAATGCAAATATATAGAGCACAAGGCAGACACTGAATGTGGGATGCGCCACCTTTAGCCAGTCGGCCATGACGATGACAGAAGGATCAGTGATGGTGCTGAGCAGCTCCTTGGTTGCCCTCTTCTTTTCTTCCCTGTAGTTCTTCTTCTGCACCTACAGGGAACGCAGAGGGCGGGACAATGCAAAGACATCATTATGTGGACATGGCTTCCCACTGAATTCCATTTGGCAACAAAAACTATGAGTGAACTCACACTCCTCTGTGTCCCTGTCACATTAACACCAGGGTGCTGTTCGACTGTCGAGTACACTCTTTTACATTTAATGGCTCCCTTTAAGCCTGCACATGTGCATGACACCAGTGCACCACAGGTTTAAAAATCTGTGTTTTCTATACATCATCAGGTAGAGTGTGGCCCAACATACACAACTTCCCGAAAGAAAACATTTGTACCGACTGGATTTTGATTAAAACAAACAAACCCCCCAAAAATGAAATTGATTAGAAATATTTGTCGGAAAGAAATCAATTATTAGGATCTAAAGCATCATCTTAAAAGACTGATTCTAATTAGACTGTATTTTTCCAATTAAATTAGTGCTGCAGTACACTACTGAGTAAAGAAAAAAAGACCAAGCACACATACTTTGCAATATGTTCTCACAAAATTCAGTTCCAAGCAATAATTCCTAAAGCACTTTTGCAAAAGCAATGTTTTTATGATTAAAGAAGCAATCCGTCTGACTAATGTCTACAGCTCAGCTTACAGGGAAGTAATCCGTTTCCAGAAATGAAAGCTACTACAGGTCTTTAAAGGTAGAGTTTGAGTTGCATCCACTCCATTTTCCAGTGTTGTGCTATAATCCTGTGGATAACTGATATTCTGTGTGCCAGAACAGTCAGCTGATCTCAACCGTATTGGCCTGTTGTGAGTACAGCTGTAACCTCCTAGGACCTGGCGTCCACATATGTGGACATCACATTTTTGGGTTATTTAGACCAAAATACTCAATTTTGCTCTACAAGGGCCTGATATCCACTCACGAGGACATTATGCTGCTACTGTTCTATTGAAATTTCAAACGAATATGTGGCTCTCATTATTGTTAGAAACAAAAATTAGGTAAAAAAAATAACTAAATAAAAAATCTGGTAAATCTTTATTTTTACATTCATCAGGTCCCAATCAGCCCAAATATCAAAGAGAAATTAAAAATGCATGCCGTGGAAGAGTTCGGGTCTTAGGAGGTTAAAGTGTGGAAAAAGCGCACATCAAATTAATGCAAGCTGTGGGAGCTGAAACGCATTTATATTCGGAGGTCTGCAAGACTGTGCCTGCGGCAGGTGGACTAAAGTAAAGTTTGAAGGACAAAATCATCACCTCTGAGTTTTTTTCAACATGTTTGACTACACTGTGTCCTACTCACTCTAACATTTGTTACATGAAGAAAAGTATGAGCTTTTAACGAAAAACATGACCTCTAATGGCATGCAGTTTGAATACAAACACTTTAAATCGTCATGTTGACAAGCATCAGTGATTGAGCTATACGTAACACTCTCCATGAAAGAGCCTCATTAAGACTCGTTATGCCTGCCCTTAGAATTAAGCGTCTGGATACGCAAGACTTAAGCCGCTTTGAGCTCACTTACCTTGAGGGACTCCTTTTTGGTGAGCTTCCCCCCAGACGCCGACACATCCTTGTCTGAACCATTGTACAGCTTTGTTTCAGACTGAGAACACAGGAGAGAAAAGGCAGATCTTGGAGATGTCACATCAAGATCTTTATTCTTCATTTTTATACTCAAATGAGAAAAATCTGTTCTTAAGCCACATGTTTGTTCATTCTAACGGTTAACACACCCTTGAAAGGTTGGAGACTTCAAAGGGGTCACCTTAAAGACCCTTAGTAATACTAATGCTGGTAATCTGGGAATTTCTGTTCCAGGCAACTAAAAGAAAAATCGGTAAAATGCCTAATGTAGTCTGTAAAGTGCAAACGTAAATGTCAGCAAAGTTTTGCCTCTTAATGACAAATTGGTTACCTGAAATCACACAACCAACACAGTCTACTAAAACACGGGGACATTATTTGAGGTTAGCAGATCTTTTTCCGACCAAGCTCATGCGTTTCCATGGTAGAACCCAACTTAGCTCTGCTACTAGGACAAAGCTTAAAATTGCTGGTGTGTCTCTGCCAGATCCCGTCACATGCCAGCCGGAGCGACCTATAGTGGCCACATAGGTGTGTGTGTGTGAGCTATTTAAAGCTGTAAACACACACACAAGCAGTGTAGGTGACAGGATGGAGGTTACGTGATAGTAAGCAACAAAGCTAAAACCCTCCTTCCAAATCTTTTGTACTTTTCACAAACGTTCAGATTTATTTTGCTGAGAGTACGACTCCTGTGAGGACTGCTGTAAACCACAGCTTGGGCTTGATTCTGCATCTGAACTAGTCATCTAAGATGTCATCTGGATGTTTTTAATACACACACACATTATTTTAACTCTTGTTTTCCTCCTGGCAAGCCTCTGTGAGAGATTCTTTTAATCTCTAAATTAACCATCATGCATGGATCATCATCTCTTCATACTTCATGAAAACAATTTCATAGTGTCTGTGCAGTGACTCAGAGGAAGTCTCGAGACACCCACGTTTGCACTGACATATTTGATGAGGACCTCGACAGATAAACTAGACGAGCCTCCACGCTGAGCTCGCTTGAAAGACGGGTCGAGTCCGAATTTTAGTTGATAAATGTTTGATGTTTAGCAGCGTATGCGATGTATGATTCATCTCAATGTAGGCTCTCTCATGCCTTAGGCTAGACTCGGAAAAGGAAAGGAGATGTGCAGTAATTCCCTTATTCTCTGGTCTCATTACACACTGAAGCAACCCATCATTCCTTCTTAGCCTTTACGGTGCATCAGCTCAGTGGAGTGAGTTTTCTTACCTTGCTCTTAGATATGGAATGAGAGTCCTCTTTCAAAGGCAGTGGCAAGAGGTCCTCCTTCCCTCTCTCAAAACCTGTAACCATAAAGAAAGTCCTAAGTTCATCTGGTTCCAGCAGCACCTCCTTATTCTCTATTCCTGTTATTTTAAAACACTATCCAGGTGCACGAACCGTGGGCAGGTATGCTTGATTGCTGTCATATGAATGAATACTGAAGACTTCTCCAAATCTTATAAGGGGCTTCTGATTCCCAAAAAAGAACCAATCTAATAGTAAATACTACCAATGCCTATCAAATCACTTTCATACACATGATATCAAAATGACAAAGTCAGAATTATAGCCATGATGATGTTGTGATACAGAAATTCTGTCACAGACTTGCAGTCAGTCATCAACAATACGTCCAGTTCCAGTTGGCTTCACTCTGTATGGCATTTTCCAAATCTGTCATGTATGTTGTGCTGGTTCTTTCGGAGCATTGTTGGTGCAGCTATCTAACAAATAATATCACTTTCTTAGTGGTTAATATTCTAACAGTGTGTTCAATAAGTCTGTGCTTCAGTTCTGCTGAGTGCAGTTTTAGTGTTTTATGTGTATAATATTAGAGTTTGACAGTACTGACCGCGATTTGCCTAAAATTCCAAAATTTTGGAAATCTGTTTATGTGTAGTTATCCATCAGCTGGTGGATTATGGCATTCAAAAGATGTCACGACAACAGGACAAGCTGCACTCTGGTGGACAAACTATGCAACGTCAACATTGATAACATGGAAGGCTGATTCTCCCATCCTCTTCATTTACCAGCAAATAATAAGTCTATAATATCAGCCCGCTGATAAATGTGTTGGACTCTACTTAGTACAAATTAACAGTTGTTTGTGTCTCACACTGCATGTCTACAGTTTACGGATGATTATAACCTGGCACTCAGCCCTCTCATCCCAGTATGGTCACTACTGGCTCCAAAGAAACAACATGACAGCAGACAAAACGCTATCAGTGAAAATAAGCTAAACAAGCTGTCGTAAAACACTGTGAGTAACACAAATCTCTAAATACACTGATAGAAATAAGTTTGGTTCAACTAATCGCTGGACGAATCAATTTAGAGCCTGTATGTTCAGACAAAGTACTGATATCGAGTGTGTTAATGACGTATCACAATAAGAGGCATTAATCTTTATCCTCTATCCAGAATGTGCTTCTTATTCAAAAACAGACGTTTAAAGTATTTGTTACACTGCTTGTTTTAGAAATCCTAACTAACCAACAAACTTGTCTTAGCTAATAATTATGAGTTGCAGCTCTTTTTGCTCTCTTTTCCAGTTTTGTGACATGGTGACGATTTCAAGTCCAAATGTCTGCCTTCCTAACTGGAATCCCATTACATAATGTCACAGGAGCACACTGTCCTTTGAAGCCACTGGAGGAAAGCCAGAGAAGCTGGATGGCAACAAGCTAGCACCGGTGACAAGAGCTTAATCTGAACTGAGCTCAAATCTGCAATAAATTAGTTGCTGAAAGGAGCTAAAAGGAGGTTCCCCGTTTCAGTCTCAGACAGTGTAGCTTTGAAAAGTGGACACAGAAAAAGTAGTAAGTTGTTGAAAGGAATGTGAGTTCACTACAGAGCTAGTGTGTCTTAAACCTACACAGAAGGAAATTTTCTGTTTTTTATTTCAGCTCTGCTTTAGCATTTCTAATCCTAATTACTGAGCCAGCTTCTAAACAATAAGCCAAACCTCATCAACAGATTCCCCACTAAGATCACTGCAGTGTGTGGCACACGAGGTCTCAAGGTGACAGTGAGCCTGTAAATATTTTATGCTTTCCTATCTTCAGGTCATCAGTATTCAGCTGTGAGAAGGAACAACTGCAGAGCTTCATTTCTAAGTGAGACATTCATCATGTGAACAGAAGTCAGATTCTATTTGAGCATCCATTCCCTTTAATAAAAAAAAAGTGGGCGTGTGTCTTGCTGCAGCGAAACAGGACTGTATTCTTACTGCATGCCTCATAAGGTTTTTGTCAAACCTACTTTTTATCAGCCAGCTTTATTTGCTCTGAGTCTTCCATTTCCAGTAAAGCTTTTTAGCAGCTGCTTCCATGCTGCTGGTGCTTTTACGTGGACATAGAATACTCATGACAGCAGCAGCAGGCAAACTCCAAACCAGCATGTACCTTGAGATGGAACGTGCAGGAGTGCCTTTGTGTCTTGGGGGTGGGGAAGGGGGGTCTACTTAGAAATGTATGGCTTGGAAGGCTTTTTCTCAAACAATACATTCAGGGTACGGAAAAGGGTACATCCACAGGTCAACAAGCATGCTGCTTGTGTAAGATTAATTCAGAATCAGCAATCACAAGCAAAATTTCCCTGCATAAATCATATCCATTCAACTTGATCTCCAGTTTTCTCCTGCATTAGACATCCAGACTGAGAACCTGCAAACATGACAGGTTGTACTTGCCTTCTCTCTCAGCCTGCGGACATGAACTGAAAACTAAACTACAAACATAAATCTTTTAGCTTATTTGTTTCGATCGGTGCAGTACCAGCAGAAGATGCGGCTGAGAGGAAAGTGGAAGATGATGAAAGAATGATAAAAGGGATTCAAACAGTGAAGTTTGAATGAGGATGTTAGTCACTCAATTTGCAATCACTGATGAACAGAATCACCGTGGGCCACTGGGATGAAGTGCCTAATTTCAATTTAAGACACCTTAATGTGCCACTTCTCCACTCACACAACTGCGTCACCATGGAGCAGCAGCAAACAGAAAGCAGAGAGGATGATTTCATTGTATTACGGCAGCTTATTTAACGATTGTGACTAAAGACAAATTAAATATTAGAGGGAAATGTGTGAAGTTTACTCCATTTTTACCTGAAAATCAGACTTTCATTTTTGAAACTTGACACTTTGAGTTAAAAAAGCAAAGATCAGCCGGAAAACAGTTGACATGCTTGTTACCATGTCACAAATGTGACAGTGACACTGCTGACAGTCACTGTCTAATGACTAAGGTTAGAGTTCCTCTTCCAGGCAGAGACCTGAGAGACTGCCCATCTGCTAATGAGCTCATGTAAAATCAACACCTTCCAGTGTTTGTGTGTTTCTTCATTAATGTCATATCATGAAGGCACGGAGCGTTGTCTGTGACATGTCCTCTGCTTTTAATCTAGACAATCTCAGAAATAGAAATTCACCCTTGGGGGAAAGGTTTTAGCCTTTTTAAAATAAACTCAGATGAGCTTTATTTTAATATAAGACACTGCAAGAAGAAAAACCTCATGATAGTCAAAACTTTTGCAAGCAGATTGCTTCAAAAGAGCTCATAAACAAAACGACTACAAATGAGAAACATGTAGAATTGATTACAGAAGTGAGATGCAAAGACAATAACATGGGAATCCCTGTTATGTATGTGGCTGGAAATCAGTGACTGTGTGTTTGTGTGTCTGGCTGAGAGTGTTGGAGACTAACACACCACTGCAGACTGAAAGGAGCTCCAAAGATCTCAGTGTGCATCAAACATCATAGACTGAAGAGATAAAGAGACAGAGCGAGTGAGAGAAAAGGGAATTAAACAGCAAAGAGACAGAAAGAGCTGCATCCTGCTAAATCCAAAGCCTTTACACTTTTCTAAAATCCCTCACTGAATGAAATGAGACTGCATCATTAGAAGCACAGTGTACGTCAGACAGCAGACGCATTAGTAAAGGGTGAGCACGACAAAAACACAGTACTTTAACCTCCCTGGTTTTGTAGTTTGCTGCTTAAATGAGGCGCTACGTCAGCATTCTTTGATATCCTCCAACCTATAAAAAGTCACTAGGAATTTGACATAAGCAAACCACTCATTTTCAACTTACATCCATAGAGATACAGGTCTGGCCCTGAAAGGTCCCTTCACTTCTAAGAATCATCTGCAGTGTTGGTATTCAGCACCTCAACTTGGAGCTACACCTCTGTTTAATGCAACCCTGAAGCTGCTTCTCCCACCAGAAGATGTTTTTATTGCAAGCACTTGGATTCCTACTACGTCACATTCATTAAATCAAGTTCATTTAAAGCTCATAAAACCAGATTGATCCAGGGAGTTAATCAATGCAGTCTCTAGGTTTCTTCAAAATCGGCTTACGCGCAGCTTTCTATGATGCTGCTCTATTATTCTGGTAGGAAATATGAACGCTGCCATGGCAACAGGTGAGCTAAGAACAACAAATCGAGGGGGGGGGGGGGGGGGGGGGAGCCTGTGAGCAGAGTGATTTTTCAATTTCAGGGAAGCAAACTGCCTGAGTGTTTGCTACTGTGGGAAACCTGCCATAGCAACAGCATCTCTATGGTACTGCTGACACATCATAAAAATTGAAAGACGTCTGGTTCACTGAAAGGGAAAGAAACACCAGCTGGAAAAAGTCATGGATACTGTTTTAGTGTAATTTAGTATGCGTGGACAAATCTGTAGAGTAGCTCAAAGCAGTGCATGAATTCACGTAACTGGCAAGGTGCTTTCAGCTGCTCCCTTATTTCCCAAGGGGTCACCACAGCAGATGGATGCACAACTTTGATTTGGCACAGATTTTACTTCCTGATGCAACACTCCCATTTGTCCGAGCTTGGGACTGGGACTAGGAGCACACTAAGGTTGTGACCTCTTGATTTCTTTCCTGATCTTAGACATGTAAGGCAAATGTGTTAGCCACTACAAATTTAATTTCAAATGCTCTCTGTTCCTCCACAAAGACGTTTTTGCTGCATGTAGCTGCAATTGCTTTGCGAGGAGAGGTGAGGATGATATGCAGAACCAGCTAGCGTGGATTTGAATCACTCGATGCGTGCATTCATTCAGGTTGTGTTTGATGTTGACAGAAACTGTTTTATTCCCACAGTTACTGGACCACAGATGACATTGTTCAAATGTTTTCTTAGGCCAGGTCATCTTTCCCGTGACAACTGAACTAATCCCTTCATGTTTCGAAAGGAACTCCCGTTTAAACTAAAACAAATCGGCATAACTATGCATAGACACTGTAATGTGCCACTTCCTCTTGATAATCTAAAAAGAGT